TTGATTTACATATGTTGAACCATCCCTGAATACCAGGGATAAATCCCACTTGGTCCAGGTGAATGATTTTTTTGATGTGTTGTTGGATTCAATTGGCTAATTTTGTTGAGATTTTTGCATCTATGTTCATCAGGGATATAAAATTTTAGCCAGAGCCATTAGGCAAGAAAAAGAAATCAAAGGAATACAAATTGGAAAGAAGGGAGTCAAATTATCCCTGTTGGTATATGGCATGATCCTATGTGTAGGGGAACCAAAAGGCTCCAATAAGAGACTGTTGGAACTTAAAAGGGACTTCAGTAAGGTTGCAAGATGTAAAATCAACAAACAAAAATCAGTAGCCTTTGTATACACAAACAACGCCATGGCTGAGAAAGAATTTGTAAGATCAGTACCATTTACAACAGCTCCGAAAAGTTTTAAATACTTTGGAATAGATTTAAGGAAGGATGTGGGAGATCTCTAAAACTGGGGTTAGTGCTGTGGTGCAGTGGATAAAGCTATTGCCTGTGGTGCTGGCATGCCATATGAGCACCAGTTCAATTCCCGGTTGCTCAACTTGCGATGCAGCTCCTTGCTAATGTGCCTGGAAGGGCAGTGGGAGATGGCCCAAGCACTTGAGTCCATGTCATCCATTTGAGAGACCGGATGGAATTTGAGACTCTTGGCTTCAACCTGGCCCAGCCCTAGCCATTGCATCCATTTGTGGAGTGTACCACTGTACGGTACTCTGCCTTTCATATACATAAAATAAATCTTAGCAAATACCATAACTCACTAAGCTTGTTCAATATAATAACATTGAACCTGTCTCCCTCACCCCAGAGAGAGTGTTTTCTTGAACATGTACTATGTATCAGAAATCTTGAAGTGAGGTCTTACCCATATAATTTTGGTGCATTCTGTTATCAGTTCAGGGGAGCTTGTGTTTGAACCTATTTCCTCATTCTCTAAAGATTTACATTGGTGAAGTCTTTCTTGCTGAAGAAACAATGATAGCATTGGTAACTGAAGGAGCATAGCTATAAGGAGATAGGCTAGTGTTTGTGTGTGTGTGTGTGCATATTTGAAAACAAGAGACTTAGAAAATAAAGGAGTGTGTGTGTATAACGGTTGCTAAAGTTACCCATTACTATCAAAGAGGGAAAGAGTGAGGCATGGGAGAGTAATTGGATTGTGTAAGGCAGATATTCCCTAGGTGATGTCACTAAATATTCATCATCCAAACAGGAATACTCTTTAGAATGCAAGGGTCTAACATGTGAAAGAGACTGCCCAGGCCTCTTTGTTAACAAGCACAAGTTTAACGCTGCTGGTTGACCAAAGCTTTGCAGCTGATTACTCTCTCCACTGTTCTCCTTCATCAACACAACAGCTGATCACAGGTGTCACCTGGAACAGGGTGATTATTGCTTGTGCTAGCTTATCATTCTAATTCACTTTTTTTGCTGATTTTCTCTGTTCACCCAGATAGTGAGACAATAAAATTGGAGAACAATGGCAATACCTTCTTCTACTTTTAGTCATGTACATAATCAGTATGCACTTCTGATTTTACATAAAGATTAATGACAGTCTTACTTCTAATTATAAACCACTCACAATTACATCCTAATATAGAAATCATGGTTCAGATCATTATTAACCCTGGAGGAGACCCTGAGAGGACTTTCCTGCTTATGCCTTCTGGGGTATACGTATTAGGAAATCCTTAGAAAGTATTGATCCTTCTAGGTTAACACCAAATGTTTTTTTTTTTTTTCAAAATGAGGTGGAGGTGTCAATGAATGACTCCCTTAATATTTAGGCCTTGGCCACTCTCTAAGTTTTGAAGTGTCTGGTGAGGACCCTAACCTTAACCTTAGTGCTTGTATGGGAGCACACAACTCAATCACACGGGCCCAGCCTTCTGTGGATCTGATCTCACCTGCATTCACCTTTTTCCTGAGGTCAATTCAATGGTGCTTTCAGCACTAACTTTTTCTTTCAATATATAAACTAGTTAGAAATAAAATATTTTTAATTTTTGAACTTTGAATTGGCATTTGGATTTTTAACAAAGAGAGATCTGTTTTAGTTTATTGATTTTGAGCATTTTTAATCCCTTGACCTCGGTGTCAATATTTATGATAATGTTGGAGTCCATTCAGGCTGCTATGACAAAATACCTTTGGGTAATTTATAAACAACAGAAATGTGTTGCTTACAGTGGATGTGTGAGAACAAGGCATTAGTGTATTTAGTGTTTGGTAATAGCCCATTCTCCACGTGGCCCTTTGTGTTCTTGCATGGTCGATGGAGCTAACGTGCACTCATCCCACTTATGAGGGCTCCATCTTCATGAGCTTATCATCTCCCAAAGACTCCATCTCTTAACACTACTGCACTGGGGATAAACTCTCAACACACGAATTTTGATAGAAGAGAAACCTCCAGATCATAGCAAATAATGATTATTGTGATGAAAATAATAACAATAAGTATAATCTGAAACTTCTCATCCATATTCCTGTCTCCCATGAATGTGCCCTGAGAGACTTCCTCCTTACCGCCTCCCATCACTTCTTCAATCAGTCCTTTTGTTCTCCTGAAAACCTACCTTGCAGTTGGTTCCTCCACCCTCCACTGGCTGTCTCCTCCCTGTCACTTCAGCAGGGACATTGAGGGCAGCTGCTGATTACCACATAATCAGGGGTCATGTTAACCCAGGGCAGACAGAAAACCAGGTGAGGGTGCACAAAGTGTATTGTGACCCCTTTGCAGAGGACAGATTTCAGTAGAGAAGAATGTGAGGAAGCTGCGACAGTGGAGACAAAGCTTCCAAAGAATTTAGCTGAAAAGCTGAGCAAAGACAAGAGGCAATAGCTGAAGGGTGATGGAGTATGAAAGAAGAAAGGTTGTTTTTAGTGTTTATTGATTTATAAAGGGAGGGTGAGAGGTAAAGAAGTTAAGAGAAAGGATTTCTGGACTTCTGTGACTGAGGAAGCAAGAGAGATGGCTCCAGGACCCAAGTGGGAAGCTGGTCACAGACAGAGCAAGGCAGTTCTGGTGACTCATCAACTCTGTGATTCACAGAGGAAAGTGGCCCTCCGTGTGCTGAAAGCAGAGCAGTGTTTCTCCCATGGGTGAGGCATAATGAGAGACTTAGCAATGTTATGACAAACGCTAAGCAGATTTTATAGGATGAGACTCATCTAAGAAAACAAATTCCAATAATGAAGACATTAAGAGTTTAATAAACAGAAAAACTGAATTACACTTAAAATAGGATACAAGTCAGAAGCTAAAAATAAAGAACAAATTTAGGGGTTGGGCAGAGCAGTTAATATGTCAGTTAGGGCCTACATCTCATATCAGGGTGCCTGGATTTGCTTCCCCTTTCCAGAATACAATTTTAGTACATAGTAAAATAAAACTTGACAGTTTTAGGAATAAATACCCCAAACAAGTAGTAACAAAAAGTTACAGGCAGAATGACATGGTATTGAAAATCAAAAACACTTAATGTACAGTGTTTACCTCCACTTAGGGAAAGTAAAATGATAACTTATAATGTGCTGCTTAAGTATTAACATTTAAGAGAGAAATGTAGGCCTTTCAGCTTTTAAAGGTTTATTTTATTTTATTTGAGAGGCAGAGTTACAGAGAGAGAGGGAAAGACAGAGAGAAAGATCTTCTGGGGCCAATGCAGTGGCTCACTAGGCTAATCCTCTGCCTGTGGCGCTGGCATCCCATATGGGCACCAGGTTCTAGTCTCAGTTGCTCCTTTTCCAGTCCAGCTCTCTGCTGTGGCCCCGGGAAGGCAGTGCAGGATGGCCCAAGTGCTTGGGCACCTGCACCCACATGGGAGACCAGGAAGAAGCTCCTGGCTCCAGGCTTCAGATCGACGTAGCTCCGGCTGTACTGGCCATTTGGGAGGTGAACCACTGGAAAGAAGACTTTTCTCTCTGTCTCTCTCTCACTGTCAAACTCTATCTGTCAAAAAGAAAGAACGATCTTCCATATGCTGGTTCACCCCCCCAAAATGGCACAATGGTAGGGGTTGTGCCAGGCCAGAGAAGCTAGGAGCCAGGAGTTTCAAAGATTTCCCATGTGGGTGCAGGGGTCCAAGCACTTGGGACATCCTCCACCACCCTCCCAGGCACATTAGCAGGGATCTGGACTAGAAGTGGAGTAGCTGGGACACAAACCAGCTCCCATTGGGGACACCCTCATTGCAGGTGGTGACCTTACCCACTATGCTGCAACGTGGGTCCCTGTGGACCTTTCTTTAAAACAGCACTGATTTTCAGCTTTCTTTGCCCTCTGTAACTCTGCTCACTATTTTGTCTCATGATCAGCACTGTCCCATAGGCGTTGTCTCGAATGATTCCAATGTGAGGTCCATGGTTGTGTTCTATTTCCTTGTGGTTTGTGGAATTCCCTCTCTTTGGGCTCTTCCAATTTAGTGAACCAGCATGGGGAGATGTGGTGTAGAGATTCTAATGTGGGAAAACCAAAGGACCTGGTTCTTGGGCCTCATCGACTGACTCTCTGAGGAGCACATTGTTGGAGAAGCTTCTGAAGTAACATGGAAGTGTCCCAGCCAAGAGTGCAGAGCAAAGACTAGCATCATTTTTAGGACATGGTGGGAAATGGGTGTGAAGATGAGACAGGGAACTGCCCCTGTACACTGTTGCTGCAAAGCCAACCACCACACACCTCACTTCTCTAAAAACAATTGTTTTATTATTGTCGGTCATGTTCCAGGAGATACATTGGGCTTAGCTCAGTGTCTCAGTCTAGGGTAGCCATATGGTAGCTAGGGCTGAAATCACCTTGAGACTCACATATGTCTGGCAACAGGGTGGGGAAGACTCAAACAGCTGAGAGGTGGAGCAGCTGGAGCTTGCTGGGCATCTGTGTTCCTCTGTGTGACCTCTGCATGTGGTCTCTCAAGTGTGGTGACTTCAGGGAAGCCAGGCTTCATACATGGTGTGTTCTGTTAGAACCACCTGGAAGCTTCCCCTCTCTATGACATCATGCAGTCCTCCAACATGACTTTGGCCACACTCTCTGGTGAGGCCATCACAAAGCCTGGCCTAGGACACAGGGGAGGGGACACAGGCTCTGCCTCTTTTTGGGAGAACAGTGTAGATCTGAGAATGCATGTTTGGAAAAGTGATCTACAAACAGAAGGAGAGTGGAGTCACATGTGCCATGCAATGAGTCACTGAAGAAATGAAATACACAAGGCTAACTAACTTCCCAGATGATTCAAGACCAGCTCCACTGTATTGGAGAGTGTGGGGTTGGGTCTGACCTCCCTGGAACAAGATGACTGTGCTGGTCATGAATGAACCCTGCCTGGCTGGAAATAGCTGCAGACACAGCTTTCCCTTCCAGGCCAGGGACTTAATTGTTCCTGCTCTTGCACCTCAAACTACTCTACAGTAGCAAACCAAGTTAAGTACCCAAGTGACCCTTTCCCAATTTAGGGCCAATTCTGTAAGTGGTAGCTTACTAGACTCAATAATAGAAAGAATTGGTTGCAGTCTTTTAAATTGACTTTTTTTCCCATTTATCTCTTCATACTCTTAACTATGGGGTAGTTGAAGTTTTATTTAAATGCCCATCAACGATAGACTGGATAAAGAAATTATGGGATATGTACTCTTTAGAATACTATACCGCAGTAAGAAACAACGAAATCCAGTCATTTGCAACAAAATGGAGGAATCTGGAACACATCATGCTGAGTGAAATAAGCCAGTCCCAAAGGGACAAATACCATATGTTCTCCCTGATCGGTGACGACTGACTGAACACCAAGAGGGAAACCTGTTCGAGTGACGTGGACACTATGGGAAATGGTGGCTTGATCAGCATAGCCCTGACTGTTAATGAACAACTTAATACATTATCCCTCTTAGTAGTTTTTTTAACTGTTCTACTTAATATGACTGGTTTAGATCTGTAATTGATGCACAGTTATTCTTAAGTGTTGAAAATTAACTGAAATGTGATCCCTGTTGAACATGGTGGTGGGAATGGGAGAGGGAAGAGATGTATAATTTGGGACATGCTCAGGCTGACTTGCCCCAAGTGGTGGAGTTGGAAGCATACCAGGGGATTCCAATTCAATCCCATCGAGGTGGCATGTACCAATGCCATCTCACTGTTCCAGGTGATCAGTTTCAGTTCACAGTTGGTCATGGTGGAGGGACTGGGCGTCAAAGGGAGCACATAGACAAGTCTAGTACCTGCTAACGCTAAACGATGGAGTAAATAAAGGGGAGAGTGATCCAACATGGGAAGTGAGATACTCAGCACACTCATAGAATGGCAGATGTCCTAAATAGCACTCTGGCCTCAGAATCAGCCCTAAAGGCATTCGGAGCTGGCTGAAAAGCTCATGAGAGTATTTCAGGCATGGAAAGCCAAGACACTCTGGCAAAAGATCTCTGCGAGTGAGATCCCAGTGGAAAGAACAGGTCATCAAAGAAGGAGGTACCTTTCTCTGAAGGGAGGAGAGAACCTCCACTTTGACTATGACCTTGTCTAAACAAGATAAGAGTTGGAGAACTCAGAGGGCTTCCATAGCCTTGGAAACTCATGACTGGAGCATAGGGAGATTACTGATGCCATAGACAGGAGTGTCAATTGGTAAAGTCAACAACAGGAGTCACTGTGCACTTACTCCTCATGTAGGATCTCTATCCTTAATGTGCTGTACATTGAGATTTAATGCTATAACGAGTACTCAAACAATATATTTCACTTTGTGTTTCTATAGGGGTGCAAACTGTTGAAATCCTTACTTAATGCATAGTAAACTGATCCTCTGTAAAAAAAAAAAAAAAAAAAAAAAAAAAAAAGAAATTATCAATTCCCAACTTGACTCTCACTGGGATTAAACATGACAATAGGTCTGCTCTGATTTCATCATCATTTAAAAAAAAATCATCTATTATTTTTCACTTTATGTTTCTGTGTGGGAGCAAACTGTTGAAATCCATACTTGATGTATACTAAGCTGATCTTCTGTATATTAAGATAATCAAAAATGAATCTTGATGTGAATGGAAGGGGAGACGGAGTGGGAAAGGGGAGGGTTGTGGGTGGGAGGGACGGTATGGGGGGGAAGCCATTGTAATCCATAAGTCGTACTTTGGAAATTTATATGCATTAAATAAAAGTTTAAAAAAAAAAAAAAGATCCCATCTCTGAGGAGTGCTAGTGATAAGTCTACACTATCACTTTTGAAGGTTCCCAGATTGTGCTTGTACCTGCCTGATCCTGTGTCCAAACCCCAACAGCCGGCACTCCTGACCACTCTTGGCCCTGCGGCCTTTGCTTTGGTGGGCAGCTTCTTCCTTCTACCACTCCATGCAGTGTGCTGAGACCTCCCATCCTCTGCCAGTATTCCACAACAATGGGTCCCTGGATGTGACAAGATTTTGTGAACCTTTGGGCACAATGGACGGGACTTGGGTGTCTTGTCACTGCACAGAGAAGAAAACTTTTAATAATCCATAGACTTGAGAGCTCTTCCTGATAATGGGATCCCGCCAATCCCTGTCACTTTCTCCCCCAGACTTACCCCCTCTGGTGTTCATTTTCCTGTTGTCTCCTGTAGGGCATCAGAACATTTCATCCCAAATTTGTCACTTTGTCATAAGGATTAGTTGGAACTGAAGACAATGGACAAATAGCAAATACAAATGGAAAAAAAATAAACCTGTCTATCCCTTCCTTGTTACTTGCCTAAAAGCAGACTTTTCCTTTTTTTAAAGATTTATTTATTTGAAAGGCAGAGTTATATGGGGAGAGAGAGAGCACAAGAGTGAGATTTTCCATCTGCTTGTTCACTCATTGCTCAAATGGCTGCAATGGCCAGAGATGGATCAATCCAAAGCCAGGATCCAGGAGCTTCCTCCAGGTCTCTCATGTGGGTGAGGGACTCAAGCACTTGCGTTGTCTTCCACTACTTTTCCAGGTGCATTATCAGGGAACTGGATCAGAAGTGGATCAGCTGGGACTTGAACCAGCACCCATATGGGATGCCAGAGCTGTAGGCAGGGGCTTTACCTGTTACCCACAGCATCAGCTTCCAGACTTAGATATTACTGGAGACAAATCTTGACTCTGAGCCTCCCTAAGAAGGCTCTGAGAAACCTACACAGAAAACCTCACCACAGCAACTTTTCCATCTGTTTCCCTGGTCTATTTCCCTTCCTGGCCTACTGACCCTGGAAGTCTAAACATCTTTCCTTTTATCGTCCTTTGCTAAGACAATGCATAGCTACTTCTTGGAACTCCTCAGCACTGTCTCCCTTGTGAGCATGTGCAGGCTGCACATGGTACTAAGCTCTGTTTCTCTCTTTGCTCTGCCTCTGTTGGTTTAGTTTCCAGGCCTCAGTCTTAACTTCTGGGAGGTGAGGAGAACAGTTTCACTTCCCTGAACTCCTCATAGGTCTAAGTCCCTGGCAGCTTGCATAACAACCTCCTGGTGAATAGCTAAACTTTTATTTTTCTAAATGTAGATCTATGTAGTACTTAGTTTTCTTCACCTCCATCATATGGCTCCAAAGTCCTTATCTTTCAAAACCAAATGTCTGCAGCAGGCATTGTGGTGCAGTGTTTAACTGGTGCTTGCAATACCAGCATAGCATATCAGAGGACAGATTTGAGTCCTGGCTATTCTGCTTCCAATTCGTCTGCTAGCTAAGGTGCCTGGGAAATCAGTGGAGGATGCTCCAAGCATCTGGGCCCCTGCCACCCACATAGAAGACCCATACGGAGTTTTGGGCTCCTGGCTTCAGCCACTGTGGCAATTTGGGGGGTGAACCAGCTGATGGAAGATCTCTGTCTCTCTTTAAAATAAATACATATTTAACAAACAAAATAAAAATTTCTTTAGCCTGATGGTTAAGATGATTGTTAAAATGTTCATATCCTACACTGGAATACTTCATTTGATACTAGACTCTGACGGCTGACACCTGCTTTCTGATAATGTAAACACTGAGAGGTAGTGGTGACAGCTCAAGGAGTGGAGCCACAACACCCAAAGAGGGATCTGGGTAGAGTTCCCAGGTTATGGCTTTGACATTGCCCAGTCTTGTTCATTGCATGTACTTGGAGAATAAACCAGCCAATGGGAACTTTCTCTCTCTGCCTCTCTCCCCCTTCCTCCCGTCCTACCATGTGTGTCTTTCCCTATGTCTCATTGGTTCTCAAATAAACTAAAATTTTGAAGGCTTAAAAAATATTCTAAGTGCCCATTTTGTTTGCTTAAATGAAAGATGGATTTTCTCCTTAAATAAATCTGCCTATTCTGGTGGAATTACTAAAATTGTTAAAATGAAAAACTTTTGATTTGTTGTGATCATAATTTTTTCATATTATAAATGAGGAAATTAATTTTAGTCAATCCTAATCTAAACTGACTAAGCTTTACCTCCTTTCAGCTAGCCCATCAAGGGTGTGTGCTGCCAGAGTCATTATTTGAATCCCTATTTTTCCGCCTAGACAAAGCCTTTATAATGTGTGTGAGATCGAATTGTTTAGTGAGAAGCTATGGACAATTCAAGGCAATTATTTGTGAACTTAATTGAATCCTTCAGTAAATGATGGAATACATTCCAAAATGTTTGTGGAAAAAGGGGGCTTAAAAGATAATTTTATTGGCCAGCGCCATGGCTCACTATGCTAATCCTCTGCCTGTGGTGCCGGTACTCCTGGTTCTAGTCCTGGTTGGGGCGCCAGATTCTGTCCCGATTGCTCCTCTTCCAGACCAGCTCTCTGCTGTGGCCCGGGAAGGCAGTGGAGGATGGCCCAAGTCCTTGGACCCTGCACCTGCATGGGAGACCAGGAGGAAGCACCTGGCTCCTGGCTTCAGATAGGCGCACCGTGCTTGCCGTAGTGGCCATTTGGGGGGGGGGGGGTGAACCAACGAAAGGAAGACCTTTCTCTCTGTCTCTGTCTCTCTCTCTCTCACTGTCTAACTGTGCCTGTCAAAAAAAAAAAGATAATTTTATTTTGGCACCAAGAATTTGAAATCCATGCAAACAAAGTGTCTTCAAAAAGTTCGCAGATGGGGCTGGTGCCGTGGCACAGTGGGTTACACTGTAGTCTCCAACACTGACATCTCACATGGGCACTGGTTTGAGTCCCAGATGCACTACTTCCAATCCAGCACCCTGCTAATGGCCTAGGAAAGCAGCAGAGCATGGCCCAAGTGCTCGGGTCCCAACAACCATGTAGGGGACGCGGCTGAAACTCATGGCTCTTGGCTTTGGACTGGACCAGTCCTGGCCGTTATGGCCATTTGGGGACTGAATCAGCAGATGGAAGTGTGCTCTCTCTCTCCTCTCTCTCTCTCTCTCTGCTTCTTTCCTCTCTCTGTGTGTATTTCTGTCTTCCAAATAAATAAATAAATTTAAATAAAAAGTTCATGGAGGAGCAGTTGTTGCAGCACAGCAGGTTGAGCTGCCAGTTGTAATGCCAACACCCCATATCTGAGTTCTGGTTTGCATCCTGGTTGCTACACATCCTATCCAGCTGCTTGGATATGCCTGGTAAAACAGCAAGAGATGACCCAAGGGCTTGCACGCTGACCACTAGCATGGGTTCCTGGCTTCCGTCTTCAGTCTGACGGAGCTCTGGCTCTTGATGTCATTTCAAGAGTGAACTAGCAGCTGGAAAATTCTCTCTCTCTCCCCCCGCTTCCCTCCCTCCCTGTTCCTCTCTCCATTCCTCTGCCTGTTAAATGAATCTTTTAAGGCAATTCATGGAAAATGCATGGGTTTTGATGTTTTTTCACCAAAATGAACTTTCTTTTAATTCCATTTTCCATGAACTTTTTGAAGTACCCTCATAGATACTTAACACTGCACAAAGGCGGATTTTGTAAATATTAAGCTAATGGAGCCACAGCCCAAGGACCTTCTCTTCTTTGTTTTTTAAATTCTTTTAAAATTTTATTTTCTTTCCTTTTGACTTCTGCCGCCCTCTTCCTGAGTCCCACACTGTGTCATCTAGTCTAATTATGTGTTCGTGAAGATGTTGTTTCTTTCCAGAATTTATATAGTGCGATGGTAATAGCTGGAAGTGGTCTTCATCCACAAGAGCCTGGAGCCAAATGGAATATTTACAGCAAGTATAGGCATGAGTCGGAGGCATCTGTTAAAAAGAGCAGAACCATGTGCTTCTCAGAGGATGAGGGCATTTTATCACAGAGTGGATCAGCAGTAGGATCTGAGCTGGGTCTAACTTGCATGACCTAGCTGGTGCAAGAGGTGGCAGCCCGGGAGGCTGGAGCAGCAAGAGAAAAGCATAGAGAGGGAGGCATGGCAGTCCAGGAGCCTGATTTCCCAGAGTCTGAAAACGACAAAGGCTAGTAGATCATGGTAAGCCCACAGAGTCTGTTGTGGTGTTCTGCAGGCACTGAATACTAGCATGTAGTATCTTTAATTTGGAGGAAAACGAGAAGTTATTAAGGATTTCTGACTGCATGGGAAACCACAAAATAAACAGAATTACAACAGATCAAGGTTCTCTGGTTCTGAACAAAGTGATTTAATTGGATTTATAATTTTTACACACATCTTAAGGGAACTGTTTCTTTCTCCACTTCTGTCCCAGGAGTGGGCTTTCATCATTCTTCTTCCATCTTCTGCAACATTTCTGTGTGGACAAGAAACATAGGCCAATCTCCTCCCAGCTAGGGAGGCATCTGAATGGAAAACAAAAGCCTCTGTTCCCAAGACAAGATAAAGGAAATTGTACTTTTGTGGAGAAACCTGGTAAGAAAGGAATGTGTAAAAGGAAATTTAAGCACTGTTTTATAAAGATTCAAATATGAGCAATCAATATTATTCCTCATAGTAAGACCTTGGGGGAAGAGCTTCTTTTCCAAGGTCGAGGTGTAACCACAGTGATTTGACTTGGGGCTGTGATTTGCCTGTAATTTCCTGACAGAAGGCCTGGTGCTGCTGTGCCTCCAGAAATACTTGTCCTCAAAGAAACCATTGCTGAATATATTCATTTGTGGCCGAGGGACTTAGGCAACCAGCTGTGCTCACCTGGATGCCTGTCAGTGATTTTGTGCAAACCTGTCTTCACCACAAGAAAACAAACCAAGAGCTGTGGAAATCTAGTGTTTTCCAAATACACAGATGCCTCCCCGTTCAGGAACAGCCAACAGGAGTGCATCAGTGTGTTTCCTTTTTTTAGGGAAAAGAAAAGATGCAGCGATATTTTTGCTGCTAATTGATTCTTAAACTTTTAGGCATCCAAGTGATAGCAAGTGAATACAGTGAAGTTATGAAAACATTTATAACAGCATTTTTATTTAGTCCCTCTTTTTTAAAGTTCTTTCTCTCCTCTCTCCTCCCTCCCACCCTTCTTTCCTATCTCTCTTTCAGGTCTTTCTTTTCCTTTTTTCTTTTTTACATCTATTACTGTCAATGACAGGACAGGGTTAAATGGATGAAGCTCAAGCTTCTTTGCAAGTGGTCTGGCAGGGAGCAGGTGTCCTGGATGCTGCCAGTGGGAAGAGCCCACAGCAAACGTTGACAAAATGCAGTGTGAGGTGCCCTAGTCATAGGCTTTGTGTCTCCAGGGAGCCCAAACCCCCACCAGTTAATTATAAAATGATACAAAAGGATACTCTGAATTTCTGCATGTAAAATAAATTCTCCTGCTTCCATTTTGAAAGAAACTTAATTCATGCCCTGAACTCAGGTACCACTGTCTTGCTATGAAAAACACTGGGGAAATCACACGCTACATAGGTTGGCAAACATTCTGAGACCCTCTAAGGCATTATGCACCTTCCCTCTAAAAGGACAGTTCTCTTAATAAACAGTCCAACTGATTCAGTCTAGAGGATTGAGTTATTAACTGCAGCGCATTCTCAGATTATTTCAGCTCTCTTACATCTCAGATCCATCTTACCTGGGGCAGGCAACAAAAACAAGAAAGCCAACATGAAGAAGAGATAGCAGGTCCTCATAGCAACGGGTGGCAAACTCATTGACTCAGTGAGGATGAAGGCAAGCTGGTTTGTTCAGTTTGTAAGGACTAAAGGGACATGGTTACTGGCAGAAGCGGGGTTTGTAATTTTAGTAAAATTATCCAACATAGAGAATAGTGTCTTTTCTTCTGAAGCATACACCATGTCACACGACGAATGTATGCCACAGATAATTTCTTTCATCTTCCCATTTGGAACTTACCCCCAAGTGGAACACTTTCTGATAGTGGGTTGGTCTCTATTTGCTAGTGATCCCAGGACATGTAACCTGGATTTACTTTTTTTCTATTGTGATATTTGTCTGCTCTCAATTTCCCGTTGTCCCTTCATGAGACTGGAATAATGCCAAAATGGCATTCAATTCAGTATAGACTAGGCACAGATCAGTGCTTGGCCAGATCCAGGATCTCAGCAGATACTTTTGATATTTGGATAAGACAGAGCCAGTTAATTCTGGATCCTGAGATAAAGGAAGAAGGGTGGGTTACCTTCAATAGCAAATGATCCAGTGGCACTTGGATTTTCATGTAATATTAAATTTCATGTGAGAGTCTCTTAAACTCAACACTAATTAAATTCTGCGGGGTTTGTGAATTAGGATAACATATCCCATTTCTCATCTTCAGAAAGAAACCTTCTTTGAGTTTCTGCTACTTTTATGCAAATGAGGATCCTAAGAATGCACATTGTGATCTCAGGTTGGTCATTGATTATCATCACACCTATTCAGAACTCTGGCTACATTTGAAGGCATTGAAGACAACTCAGTGTTTGTCTTAGGATAACCTGATGGAGGTATGTGATAAATTAATAGAAAATCATATCTGGAACCACAAGAATAAACCCCTGATGGTATAGATTTTTTCTTGTCAATTCTATTGAAGAAATTAGTTTTGGTGTACAGACGGTATGAGGGTATGAAACCACAGAACAGGGTCTGCATGTCCTCCATCCCACCCGTGATTGAATTTGTACACAATAATTTATACAATAAGTGCGTTCTTCATGTAACACTGAATATGGGCACCTTCGAAGGAAGAAAAGTTGAAATATGAGCTAGGAGCATTTACATTTTAACAAAGAGAGATGGGCCTGGTAAAATATTGGTAGTTTTTCACCCTTTTGTTTTTACACTAAATAGTACGCGTTCAGAGTGTTTGTCTTATTAATTTCATGCACAGTGCATGATCTTAAATTAATTCATTAACTTTGTATTGCTAAAGTAACTATCACAAGCAAGTTTGGGAGCTCAGTAATCCAGAATCCAGCTGTTGACAGAACTGTGTTCCTTTCTGGATGCAGTAAGAGCAAATCTGGTTTTGTTTTTCAAGTTTTAGAGCTACCCACATTCCCTGGCTGGTGGGTCCTTTCTCCATCTCCAAGGTCAGCAATGGCTGGCTGAGTCTTTCTCATATCAGTCACACTGACACTGGCTGGTCTGCCTGCCTGTTCCACATTTAAGGATTCTTGTGATCAACTTGGGCCCATCCAGACCATCCAAGGTAACCTCCCTGTTTTGAGGTCATTTGATTAGCAACCATTAGCCCATGTCACATGCTGGGATGGGTGACGCACACATAGGTTCTAGGGATCAGAAGGCAGCATCTTTGGGAGACCATTATTCTGCCTACTATACTAAGCAAAATAAAGCTTATTATATAATAAACAATTTTGCCAAAAATTATTTTTAAAAAGAAAAATATCCCAATGACTTACTGGGCTGCTTAATAAAACCCAGGAGACCTGGTTAAATGTGAGTTTCAGATGAACAATAAATGACCTTTTAGTATGTAAGTCTTGAATACTGTGTAAGATGTATCATAGCAATATGATTTGGCTATTTTTCTGAAATTCAAATTTAACTTGTTGTCTTCTATTTTTCTTTGCTAAATCTGTTGTTAACCCTAGTGATTTGGCATTAGTAAACAAATACTGTTTCTTCTACGTTGCTCAGCTATGAGAGAAAATTAAGGAAGCAACAGTTAAGGGAATATCATAGGTTTAATTTTAAAGATTTCTTTATGTGTCACAACCTCCAAAATTGCTCTACCATTAGACATACTTAGTATTTCTTTAGCGGGTTGTCATTATCTTTATTTGATCAAAGGCTTTACTCAAAATTAGTCTCTTGAAAGCAGGTAGTTCGCCATCTTATTAAGGGACAAGTGTCGGGATGAGAATCCTGCAATCCCAGGAGGAAGGGAGTACCTGCAGCATCCCTGATAATATTTATTTTTTGTATAGATTTTCCTGTAGGATTTAAAGCATTGCATCATGTTGTAGAGCTATAAATATTATACCTGAAAAAAAAACAAGTCTCAGTGGGTAGGCTTAGAATAGAATGACTATAGCAGAAGACAGGATCTAAGAATTACAATACAGGACAATGGAAAATTTCCAAATATAAAATAAAGAAAATAACATGAAATACACAGGAGGAAACAATGGAAATGAGGAGATGGGACAGAGGATGGACAGCAGAAGTACTTGCATGGCTAATGGTTGAAGATCTTCTGAAGCTGATGAAAGATATCAATTCACATATTAAAAAAAAACCTGAAAAACACAAACAGAATATATAGAAAATAGAACACACTGAGACATCTTAGAAACCTTGCTCTTTGGAAAATGTCTCCATTTAGTTTAAGACATAATTGGAACAAAGATCAGCAGGTGCTAATTTTGTGAGTTATTGATATGAATTCAATAAAAATAGTAAATTAGCTGTGGTGTTGAAAGTGTTATATTTTCTTTTCTCATGACATTTCAGGCACAATGAGATAGGTGTGGCTTTCTTCCTTGGATTCATGAGTTGGGCTTATAGATCTAGGGTGAGAGGTGCCAGGTAGCTTGTTGGAAGGCAGTCTGTGAGTGCTCCAGACTTCTGTGGTCTTTGTTTTCTGCAAACCAAGTTAACAACTGCAGCTGCCATCCGTGACAAACACGGGCAGATGTCAGATGCTCCTCAGGATGCCCCACTGGTGCTCAAGCTCACAACATTTTGTCTACCTGCCTATTTGCAGCCTCTTCATTTCCTTCTGGGGCCCCTTCTAACCTCCGATTTCCAATTGCCCTCTTTCTTCCTGGCCTTGCTTTAAGATGACCAAGGACCAAGATATTCCAATTTCCAAGATATCACAGTCACAAAGATGTTGAATGAGACAGGGTTTTTTGAAAATTTGATGATAATTTGTGGTGGTTACTGAATAAAAGTGTTTAAAAATTAACAGGCACACCCATTGTTTTGTAACCAAAAGCTCCTGTCATTTTTAAACCCTGGACCCAAATCACATTAGCCCTGATTCTAAGTGAAAACCAAAGATCCATTCATTTACAGATATGTAAAGGTATTTAGCTCTTACTTGATTAGATCTCTATTACAGATGCTCTCAGGTATCTTGGGTTTCAAGGTCAAAATAGTAATGGAAGTACTTTTATCAACAGAGGGAGCATTTACTGTAAATGAGTTTGCCAACCCCTTGTACTGTGGGAATCAGAGAACTCAACACTGTGACTTCGTTATGCACTATTAATTTTCATCTCATATACATCACCAGAGATATATATTTCTGGCCTGAAAGAGGGCAACACATTTATCACAAAAGGAAACACCACCAATTACCAAAAGTAAATTACCCAGGATAAGATTTGACAGGGTTGATGTTGTGGGGAGGTCAGTGGGTTAAAGTGGAGCAATTAGAGTAGATTCTGTCATTTAAAATTTGGAGCTTTTTTAAAATCATTTTTACATTAATTTTAATTTTAAAAATTTGTATTATAATGTTGTTTATCTTCAGTACAGAATTTTTAGTCCTTAAATTTTCAAGGGAGTTTGGTGTCTTCCTCACCTTATCTAGCACTGCCTGTTACCTGATACATCTGTCCGAATGAAAATGTTTTTACTCTAACAAGGTCTGGTTTGTTTTTTCAGTCTTGAGAACCTAAGAAATCCAAGGGGTTGTTTTTAAACTGTGGTGTATTGACCCAGAAGCAGGTGATATGTACACCAAGTTAAGAGATAATGGAAAGACACAGGGAGCTGCTCATACATTCAAGACACACTGCAAAATGCATAATTTGATTGCCAAACCCAGCCAGGGAGATAGCACAGGGCTCAGTCAGTATCTGCATTCCTTCCCCTCTCTCCATGGCCACCTCTTCCTCTGTGTTCCATGTTGTTCTCATTGGATTGTGCCTTCAATAAGGACTTGTGTCTCACATGATTTTCCTGAATCTTATTATGTCTACCTGTAAGGAAATACTTTGTCTAACTCCAATATGCCATTAAATTTATACTCATTTGAGAAACAGCCTCTCTTGGCAATGACCACTAGGTAAATGAGTAAGGTAAAGTCCATACATACATGTAGGGATTTCATATCCAAAGAGAAAATTAAAACTGTATTGACATGTGCAGCATGGACTAAGAAGTATAGATCAGGAGATGTGAAAACTTGTGAGGAGGAGAGGATAGCAGGTTTGCTCTACTAGACCATCAGTTATGGTTGTAGTAGGGAAGGGGTATGTGAGTTGGGACTGGAAGGATGAAGCATGGTTTTTCGTGACAATGTGGTAATATGAAGGCATGCAAATGGAAGAAATCAGGAAGAGCAAGGCATACACTGTAGGAAGGCACTGAAAGTCATGGGGAAGTTCAAGAGACTCAACAGCAGCAGGTGTCTGTGAATCTGGAAAGCACAGGAGAACCCAACTGCAGTGTCCCTGAGCTGAAAAGGGTGTCCTTAGGAATTTTACAAAGGGGTCTGCTTGAACCAGCACGATCATCCTAATTACAAGGAGGCCAGAGTCTTTGTCTTTGAACCAAGTGACTTTACATGGTTTACAGCTCTTGTCTGACTGAGGGAGCCATTTCTGAGCCACATTTGTCCCAGTGTTCACTAGGCCTCCTTGTCTCTTCCTTTCTCAGCAGCACTTGGTACCAGGAAAGCTGTGGGTGCCCATCAGTTTGAGTTTTGCATGGCATGTGAACATACAGATGCTGTGTTCTTAAGACAACTCACAGTCTGCCTAGAGTTTTAGTAAAACCTAAAGGATAAAGAAGAGCAATAGATTGCTAGAACTTGCAATACTGGGGCTGGAGTTGTGGCATAGCAGGTAAACCACCACCTGCAATGCTGGCTTGCTCTTTGGGCACCAGTTCCTGTCTAAGCTGCTGCACTTTTGATCCAGATCCTTGTTAATAGCCTAGAAAAGCTGTGGAAGACGGCCCAAGTATTTGGCTCTTGGATTTGACCTGGCCATTTAGGAAGTAACTCAGCAGATGGAAGATTCTCTCTCTCTTTTTTCCCTCTCTCTCTCTCTCTCTCTCCCTCTTTCTGTAACTCTGACTTTTGAATAAATAAATAAATCTTAAAAATAAAAAAAGAATTTGCAATACCATGTCAGAAAGACACCCATCTGTATTGTCATTTTCGATAGGTCTCCACTAAGTTTCTCTCCTAAGGCTGGGGAATGAGACCTGATCCAATGCTTATTTGGACCTATTTTTCCAACAAAGGGACCAGTGTGATAAAAATACAAGCATTACCTATATTTATATACATGGAAATTTGAGTAGATTCTTATTTTCCTAGAAACAGAACTCTACAAGCTTTGGTCCACAGCTGAGTGACTGGGGCCTCTAAATGAGAGGTCCTGGGAATTCAGTTCCTTTACAAAAAAACAGCCTCATAGCCCCTCCTGCATTTTCTTTCTTTTATTTTAATTTTCATTTCTTTTTTATGTTAAAGATTTATTTGTTTGAAAGGCAGAGTTACAGAGAGGCAGAGGCAGAGATAAAGAGAGATCTTCCATCCATTGGTTCATTCCCCAAATGACCACAA